TGGGGGCTGGAGTTGGAGTGCAGGATGTATTTGGTTAAATTTACAAAGTTACAGGATGTATTTGATTAAAACCGAGAATTTGTGCTGCTTTTCATTAGTGATATCAGGAATGAGTTATGGTCGGCTTCTGCAGTAAAGATTGCTATCTGTATTTCACTTACTCTGTCAAAAGTATGACTTCTGGCTGCATAGTAGAAGATGCCAGGAACTCAGCATGCCTTGGTGTATGTAGACTTTACCTTCAGAGTTAGAAGACCCAAAAGTTTGCACATATTAGGCCAGTAGCCATTTTTTTTAAGTGATGCTGGCAAGATATTAGTAAATCCTTTACCTCTTATGAATGCCACTTTAAAACTGGAGATGGAGAATTAAAAATGGAGTGCACTTTTCAGGATCTTTCTCTTCGCTTCCAGAATTTTGCTCAGACTTGACAGTGTCATTGGATAGTCTCTTGACACTTTTTCGTTCTCATGCAGAACAGTGCTGCAATGTTTGTTTAAACACTTCTACCCTGATATTTGTGTTTCTAAAAGCTTTTCTGTTTCCATTTTAATTACAAGCATTGACAGAGGGTTTCTGTAAGGGTTGCTCCAATAAAACAAGTCAGTAGTATCCATGTTGGCTTTAGAAATAAACATTTTCCTAGTGTTTGTCTTTTTTAATGATTCAGTTTTTATTTTACTTCTCCGTTTCTTGCCGTTAGTAATTCATTCCATTATAACAATTAAATAGACCCGAATGCAAATAATCTTTGAGGTAAAACCACAAAAAACTAGTGCTTTTGCCTTCTGACTCAGTTCCATCACTGGTTGGGGGAAAGTCCCTGTGGTGCTAGTGGCATTGACATATGACTTCAGTTATATAATGGAATACTGGCCACGCAGAGCAGATTTGAAGGATTACTTTGCATTATGCTCCTAAAACGATGCTTCTGAGCTTCATATGACAAAGCAGAAAGAAAACAGTCAGAACTTGGTTACAAATATTTAATATTTTTTTGTTCCCTTTAAATATTTGAAGCTGCTTAGCTTCTAGATAATTATGCAAATGAGTTGCAGTTAGTGCTACTGAGTGACTTGTTGGGTTTTTTTGTTCTCTTTTCCAGAAAGTCAGTGTCTAGGTCTATATACAGGGTGTTTATAAAGTCCTTGTACAACTTTAAACTTCAAAAACTTTGGTTTTTGAATGATAGAAGCAAACTGATAGAAGCAAACTGATAGAAGCAAACTGAATGGCGATTGAAAGCATAATTCATTATTTTTTTAGCATAGTGTAAGCTATGCATAGGATAAGGATCACAAATGCAATTCATGAAATCATTCAACAGCAACTGGAAAATGCTTTCTAGGAGTTGGACAATCAGATTGAATGATGTATCAGGAAAGATGGCAGTTATGTCGAAGTCTAGAAACTTGAGCTGTATTGTGCTAAAACTTAATGAATTATGCTCTCGGTCACTGTTTACAGTTTGCTTCTATCATGTATACATCCAAAGTTATTAAAGCTTAAAGTTGCACAAGGATGTTATAAACTGCGTGTGTGTGTATAAAGGCAAAAGTCAGTGTGTGTGTGTGTGTGTAATACACACACACACACACACAATGACTTTTGCCTTTCTTTTGTCATAATTGCAACAATTTTTATCTCTAAATTCATCTTTGTCCTGCTCTCTCAATCCAGCCAGAATTTTTTTTTTAATGTAACCACTTGTAAGGCTCCTTTATGGGCTGAACAGAAAAGTATAGAGTGTACAAGAACTAAATTCCCATCAGTAAACCACTCTAGAATTATCCAGCTTATATTTTTATGGAAAGTCATTACTGTATTTGGTACAGCGGGGTCTTAAAATCTACCAGCCATTGCCCCGGATGACATTTGAAACTACGTCATATTGTAAAATTTAAAATTACTTTGCTCCTCTCGCAGCTTGAGAAATGACTGGAATAAGCCATTATACACAATGGTTCAAAAGAAAATGGGAATTGTGCCTGCTTATGCTAGGTCTAAATTTGGCACTATGTCTTTTCCCATTACATCACCCTACACAAATATCTCTGTGTATGCTGAGATTTATCTTTTTAGAAGCAGCCCATAGTTTTTTCTCCCTACAGCCTCCTGAACTTTGAAGAATGAGGGTTGGGTGGAGAGGGTGGGTTTTTAACAAAAAGATCAAAGCAGCTTTGGGTGACCCCAGAAGAAGATCTAATAATTCACTAGCTAACTCGGGCTTTGTTCCATTGGGAAGTGAGCAGTGACTTCTCTGACATTCACTTAAAACATTTTTTGTGCTTGGGGAATAACAAGTTCTGTCCTGCAGCGCTCTGTTTCTGTAATTCATACGTGCCATCACGACTGGAATGTTGTTAGCGTCTAACCAGCACTTCTCAAGCATTCTTCTGCCAGAGCATTAACGATTGCCAGAGTATTGTCAGGAACTCGAGAAACCATGCCTCATACGTCATTTTTTCTTATTTTTGTAACACTGTTTCTTTGTAGTTAGAGCGTTTTCTAAGCATATTGTACGCTTGTCTAAATTAGCCACTTTGGGCTTAAATGCCATAAAAGATTTTTGACCCTAGAAACAGGGTTTGCTTCTGTAGTATCTGCAAGCCAAAAAGACTTGCGTTCGCTTACGATGCAATTACCTAGGAAAGGCAAAGGATTGGATCCTGTTTAGTCACGTGTAAATTAGAGGTTGATGATAGGGTGACTGCCTTTTTAGAAATGGAAAGGTGGGACGCAAGCCCACCTCCCCCTCAGTGGCATGGTTGGAGCAGAGCTGAGCCGAGTCCATGGAGGGCGGGGGAGGATGTGGGCTGCGGGCTCAGGGCTCCCCATCCTGCTACCCTCCCCCCAGGAGCCCTGTGCCACCATGGCAAGGTGCCCCCTCCCTGCCCAGCAGCGGCAGGGGGCACATCTCTTCACCATTGCCCCTGCTGCTGCTGGGTCAGCAGAAGGCACCTTGCCATGGTGGCATGGCCAGCACATGGCACCTGGCGGCAGAAGCATCAAGCTTGTCTGCCTTCCCATGCCAGGTCCTGCCCAGTGGGCCACGGACGCCTCTGGGAGAGGGCAGCAGTGTGCAGAGCACTGATCCTGCAGCAGTCAGCCCCCACTCTGTGCACAAGTCTTGGGGGGCATGTGCCCCTCCATGACCCACTCCCCAGGAGTGTGTGTAGTGGCAAGGAGCTAGCCCCACTGCTGCCCTCTGGACAAGCCGCACATGGCTCTATCCCGCTCCCTGGCTGGCCCAGGCAGCCACGCATTCCTGGGCCGGGCCCCAAGCATCATGCACAGTCTCAGCTGGGCAGCGCCCACAGTCAGCCTGCAAAGGAAACCTACCATTTCCCATGCTTTTCTGCAGGGAACAGAAAACCAGGATCCACGCATGACATTACAAATTCAGGACAAATGCTGAGTCCAAGAGTCATGTAGCCCGGGACTGGGACTTGATGTTCCCATTCCAGGATGTCCCACCCAGCTAGGGACAGGTTGTCACACTAGTTGATACAATGGTGACATAGCTAGCTGTCTTCCAGTCTTTTCTTTTTCCTTTGGTATTGTGGTCAAATAGAAGGGTCAGAACTCTGTTACTGCATCTCCCACGTTCTTTGATTTCTACTGCAGGTGTTAGTACGCTCTAAGTTGCTTTTTAGCAAGGTGCAGGCTATAGGGAATCCTTCATTTAGATTTTGTGTACTCCTGAAGTCAAACAGAATTTGCTGAAGTCAAACAGTTTGGAGTACTCAATGACTGACCAGCATTATTTTTTTGTAAAGTTGGACAAATACAGAAAAGTAACTGAAAACTTCCATTTTAAAAGCCCCGCAAAAGTTCATCTTTTCTTCTCCCTCTGTCAGCAGCATTTTACCTTAATTTTAAAGATCAGAGCTCTTTTTCATATTTATTTTATGCATTTAACAGTGCTTTGCTTATGGCCAGGTAGTTTTTCCACTTGTTTAACCTGCAAAACATCTTAGCAGAGGGGAGAGGTATTTTTAAAATAAGAACTTGGGATTTAAAAAATGCAGAAATTGACAGAACTGAAGTAGGTGTAAAACTATAAAAATAATCTAGATTTTAGGTTGATCTTTTTAAAATATCAAGTATACATGGGCATTCATGAGTTGAGGCTGAAATCTCTGCAGTATCTAGGCACAAAAGAAAAGTTGAGAAGCGAGCTAGCCACAATGGATGCCAACAAAGTTAATTTTACCATAGGTGGACCCAAGGCATGAGTTAAGGCAGAATAACAGTTGCTTGCCAAGACCTCTTTGATTTTGTTAAATTGATTAATTGTTGGGGGAAGCAAAATTGGAATTTATTCATTGCCTCCTTTTTTGTTTAGTTTAATAAATCTACTGAAAATCTTTCATATCTGTAAAATTAGCAGTCTTTGAAATCTTTTATGGATACTTTGTATGCCCTTTTGGAGTAGAAGGATAAACCGGTGTAAGTGATTGGAAACCATTTCAAATCTGCAGAGACAAGACAACCTGAGCAGGGTGTGGGGCCCAGGGCAAATCAGCCTGGCTGTGGCCCTGCCCCCGGATGCGAGGAAGCCCGTTGCTTATTGTTTCAGTCTACGCAGTTTAGACTAACCTGTGAAGATTAAATTGATTCAACCTTGGGCTTTTTGACTGTCTGTATTTAGGCTTAAAGACTTACTGGTTTAGATTGGCAGGAGCTTTTGTAGGCAACCAACCCACTTTGTTAGATGGTATGAACCACCTTTTGGAGGAGATGCACAATGTGTGTATTTTGATGATAAAACAGAATGGGGAGAACATCTTAAATTTTGTAGCCATCCTTATATCTTTGAAATTATATTGCAAGGTCCAAAGAGCACAGGTGTTTTATCACACTGTTTATTGTATGAACTTGTGAAACTTGTTTTATTTTGAGGGTCCCTCTCCCACCCCCGAACTCCTGGAGAGACCCAGGAAGACTTTAGGACTCTGCAAACCCAGTTTCCCCCTTTAATGCTGTCATTTTTTTCCTTCCAGTTACCAAAATGTCCACAGATGGTGGTTTTGGCGCAGCTGGCAGTAGCGATGCTCAGCAGAGTCTTCAGTCTTTCTGGCCTCGGGTTATGGAGGAGATACGAAATCTAACAGTGGTAAGAAAGTCTCAGAAAACTTTCAGAAACTTTCTAGTACAGGAGGAGTTACAGCATTTTTCATAGCACTGAAGTTGTGAGTATCTGGTCACCTGCTGCATTTGGGTATGTACCAAGAGATCCCATTGAAGACCACCACAGTGATTGTGCAGGAGTATATCAAGGTGAATCATGGTTTCATGCACCTTTATACAATAACTTCAAATGTTAGAGCTTTGGCCTATAAAGTTTGGTCAACAATTATTTCAAATACCTAGATTTGTCAAAATATTAAGCCCAGCTGAAGCAAATTTCACAGTTCAGCGAGACATCATAGTTATCCATGATAAGCGTATTGCGATTTTAAACTCAAATCTGTTAGAAGGGAGACAGTGTTTGATGGAAAGACTTTTTAGTGTACTGAGAGATGCTGTTGGTTTCCTAAAGGGCATTAGAAATATTTAAAAACCTTTGGGAGAAGTGGGAGTGAGAAGATTTTGGAATAATGTAGGTAAGTACAATTATTGTCAGGTACTGGCTGACCCTTAGATCAACTGATGGTCAGGAGATTGGAATATATTGCATAACATAATACATAGCATGTTCCTCACTACTCTTGTTGTATTCCATAATATATCATATGCAGGTCAAAAGTGCTTCCAGATTTTTGCTGGAAAGCTGACACTTTCTAACTGTACACAGTATTGAAATGTTTCCCAGATTTGAAAAAAAGCTGTGGCAAAAGATGGATTTTTATTTTCTCTTTCCAGAATAGGGTTTACACTATGTCATGACTTGGTATATTCATATATACGTTTTTATACCGTTTCAAGTTTTATGAGCAGCAGCATTTAAATCAGATTTTAGTACCAATGCTCAAGGTTTGGGGGTTTTTTTTCCTTCCCCCTACTGCACTAGCTTTTCATCACTTGATAATACCACTTTTAAAACAGCTTGTAACAGAGACTCTGCTTTCTCTTAGTTCTCTTATGCATTTAATGAAATAAAGTGAGAAAAATTACATTTTTGCAACTTCATTATTTAGAATCTAAACGCACACACACCACTTTTAGGTTATTTAAAGTTGTGAGCTCATTATTAACCTCTTGTTCAGTACATTAATAACATCTAGATGTTTGTAGACTAATTTTTTCCCTTGCATTTTTAAGGACCTATTATAATTGATATCTAAGCCATGGTATCAAAGATAAAGGTATCTCGGAGCCTAATGACCTACACAATTGTCTGTGTATGAACTAGACGAATTTACTTTGGTACGTAATCTATTAATGTTAGTTTTAAGATCAAAATTGCACCCTGAGAATCTCTCATATCTACTGTTTTGAAGAGTGTAGTATACCCAGTTTAAGGTCTAATTTTTGATGTATTTGAAGCTTTGCAAATGAGTGCATTGTTTAAAAAAACACAGTGCTACCTTTTGTCATGCACTCAAATCATTTAAAGCTAAGTGTAATTTTGACACACACACTTTAAAAATTTGCTTGTAGATGGAATGAGAAGCTGAAATTTCAGTCCAGATTTTTTCTTTAAAATGTAAGTGGAGGAGAAAAGGGGTCTGTAACAGAAATGCCTCTTTTTAAAGAGTCTGATGCTTCTATTGTAGCATTATAATAGTCTGTCTTGTCCTAGAAGTGCAGCTTTTTTTTCATTGCACTTCACATGAGAGGAAGGCTTGATTTAAAGATGGGTGTTTAAAATGAAGAAACCTGTTTTGATAAAGTAGTCCACAAAGATAAAGCTTTAATCATATACACACCAACTCAATTCAAGAAGCAGATTTAGAAATGTTTATGCATAAAGCAGAAATAATTACTTTGTACCTTTAGTATATTGAGCTTGTATGTGCAAGAGCTGTAGCTTGCCTTCATCTCTGTGTGGTAAGGCTTTATCCTACAGTTTATCCAGTATGGCAATTGAATTTTTAACACTGCTGTCATGTGAATCTGTTTATTGCATTGCAAGGTAGCAAAATGTTGCATACCAAATTGTATCCCTTCTGCCTGAATGAAAATTTTAATGAGGACAGTGCAGGCGAGGGGGACAAGGCTGGTGGGGAGGGACAATTACTAACTGGTCCTGCACCTTATCAGGCACAGACATTACTGTATGTCTTGTCATAAAGCCAATACACAGTGTGCTACCGTATATGTGTACCTGAGCAAATTGAGATTTCATTTATATGTATTGTGTAGCTGGGGTCAAAGTAGTCATCTGAGGTACAAACTGTTCTGGTTGCCTGCTGTTTGAGAGGATCTTTAATTTCTCTTCTTGTGCTTTTGCAGCGTGCAGATTTTTAGCTATTATTAAAGGAAAATAGGAATACTATTTAAAAAAATCCTTGAGATTTCAGCCTCCCTTATTAAGCAAAGAAGAAAAATGGCATTATATTCGAGGACTAGTAGAAGGTCTGATGAAAGATGCATTATAGCTCCAGAATTAGAGGCCTGGTGAAAACACTAAGACCTATTTTGGAAAAAAGCAAAGATGAGGAATTGTTAGCTAAAGTTTATTTAGCTGGGTAGCAGCCAGACAGCATGCCTACTTCCCTTACACCAAAATTAATGCAAAAGATGAGCAGATATCAAAGAGCTCTACTACTTGTTTGTAGGTATAAAATTTTCCCTGCAAGTATATCTTCAATTTCAAATATTTTTCACATATTTTATAGAAGCTACAGAGCAGATGCACTGCTAAGAGCTCGTGCAGAGGACCCACATATCTTCCCAGAAGTTAACACTAATTGGCAACATTCTCAACGTCAAAAAATGTGAACACTCATATTAGCTCCTCAATTGAGGGGATTTGCCTATAAATTCCTACAATCACTCTTTTAAAAAATAAATTCTGTTTTGATCTGTCTTCTAGTTTTCAGCCTGCCACCTCTCCCTCCTTGTGTTGTGTGTGGGTGAATACTAGTAGAAAATTCTGTTTAAAGGCATACCAGTGGCAGATTTGTGGCCCTTTGTTGCCCTTGTAGGCAGCCCCGTATCATTCTGGTCCCTAATAATCACCTGATATACTCCAGCAGCTTCCCCTTAGCCTTAGGTAGGGGCCAAGGAAGATCCCTTAACCTTCATTAAGTTTCCTCTCCCTGTGCTCTGAAAGGTGTGAGGTGCTGTGCTGCATTGCACCTTTCATGGGGCTCTTCCCGTGCCCTACAGACAATCCAGGCTGCTACTTACAGCTCAACATCCTTTAGCTGCTGAAAGGTGAAACTGCAGGCAGCTCAATCAGTTCCTGAGCTTTTTCTGTGGTTTGTAAGCACCTTGCAAAATAAGCCCTAATTTGTGATGTGAAACAATAATATCACAAGCATTATGTCCACTGTATTAGCATTTCCTTCCAATCCAGCAGAACAGAGGCAGTCCTTTGTAAATGAAAATGCCTCCTGCTGCCCTGCTAGTAGAACCAGATGTACCCTCTCCTGTCTCAGTGGAAGATGGCAAATTTTTCTTCTCTTTACTAAGAACATTTGCACTGACATTTCTTTCCAGGGAAACATGTTTCCTTTTATTATGCCTAGCAGGGTTTTTTTCCCCCCCCCTTAGCTTTCATCTGGAAGGGAGAAAGCATTCTGCAAAGCACTTTGTGACAAGGGATGGTGCATCCCCTCCTCTGATGTGTAGATACTGAATGCTTATCAGTGTTTAAAGGCTTCAGGAGAAACATTTTTTTCTGAGCAGGGAAAAGGGACACGGGGAGGTGTTGGGGGAAAGGGGGTTACATTAGAAATGAAGTACGGCTAATCCCTTTAGCATTGGAGGTTTGTCTCTGGACATAAACCCTAACAGGACATTCTTGGTCCTCTTTCTGCAGGAATGGGTATAATTGCCTTCTTATTGCTTTCCTATAGGCTGCGTATATGCCGGATGTTCAACAGGGCATGGCAATTGGACCAGTTGCCAGTGGCCTGCTTCCCCCTCCAGACCATGACCTTTGTCTGTGAGCCAGCCAGCCACTTCACTGGTAAAAAAAAAAACGGGCAGCCCATTTGTAAATGGTTTTTATGCCACGTTGCCATCTGCTTCATGCCGAAACTGGCAGCTGGCCACAAGTTCAAGTAAAGGGAAGAAAACTCTTGGCCCCATGCTGGCAGCCAATGCTTGTTTTTCTCATCTTCTGCATCTTCTTTCTCCTGGTCCTTTTGGTGAATTTGTTCAACACTTTCTGGTTGTCTAAAGTATCCCAAATGAATGCACTTTCTGTGAACAAGAATCGGCCTAAAATGCAGTGTTTGGAAACGGCACTGGTATACAGTCACCTTCTGGAATTTGGAAAGGGATTCGGAGCAAGATAAATAGGTACGTACCAGCATCTGCCTGAGACACTGCTGACTGTATAACAGTGAGAAAGGCAGCGAAAAGTGGATGAAAGGAAGAGCACAATATGCTGAATAGTGGTTACTATACCTTGGACAAGAATAAAAATGACCACCTCTTAGAGGGAATTGTTTGTGAGCTGATTCTGATTCTTTGTAGTTCCACTTCTGTGCTACCTTTACTTTGAATTATGTGTTGTTTGAGATTTAATAAATCATATTCCTGTTGTTCTCCACAGAAAGACTTCAGAGTACAGGAGCTCCCACTGGCTCGTATTAAGAAGATTATGAAACTGGATGAAGATGTGAAGGTAAGTTCTTGCTTTCTCCTTTACATTGTGAAACAAAACATGCAGTTACAAACACTTTAAATGAGCAGCATAGCTTTCAATCCCTGGAGTACAACATTTAATTAAAAAACATTATTGAACAAGTCTGTTTGAAAACTTAAAGAATTAAAATGCAGCATCAGCTAGTATAGAACAATTAAGCTGATGTCGGTATGAAAGGCCTCCTGTGGAAACTGGAGTGTGTTTTTTGAGAAGTGCTCTAAAATTGTGTTTAAATATTTATCTTTCAAAATAAAGTAGCTGTTTAATACAAACCTGTCTACGTACTTTACATGGCAAGCTCCCTTGTCTGTTAGTATCAGAGTGCTTAACAAATGTCAACAAATTGATCTGTAAAACACCCTGCGAGGAATGTAACAGCGCATGGGGAGCAGAGACATGGAATGCGACTTGGCAGAGGTTAAACTGGGAGGTATGATAGCTTCTGAACTGAATCCCAAATTCCTTGCCGTAACCTATAGACCAGCCTTCCTCACAACACGTAAGAGATGATTATTTCTTTCCACATAGAAAAAAATGCTCAGAATGCACTAGATGTCAAACTCATTTTGCCACGGGCCAGATCTGAACCCACCTCCAGTGGTGGGATGAACAGCAGTGGTGGGGTAAGGGTGTCAGGGAGCTGCTAGGATTAATGTAGCTGTTGCTTACAATACCACTTCTGAAAGATATCCCAGGTTTCAGCTGTGGGTCCAGGCCTCAAATTCTCAGCCTTTCCAGGAGCTCTGTGAACTGGATCACATGGCTCTGAGGGCCGGATCTGGCCTGGGTGTTTGACACTCTTGCCCTAGACGCATGGACAGCTCCAAAACCACCAGCATGGAGGCTAACATTGTTAATTTTGCTACATACTTGATGAATTTCACAGTGCTCATCAAATTAAATTGGATGACATTTTTTATTATTCACCTAGACTGTAAAGCCTGGGCAAAAACATGTAATGTTTTGAAAATAGACTTCCTGATGCTTTTCAGTTGCGAGTCCCATCCATCCGTGTGTCCTGCCCAGGCATTTTTTGGAGTTTTCCTAGTTCTGCTAGTGTCCTGGTGTTGTCTGTCACTTTTCCAATCCTCTTTTTGTGTTTGTGGTTTTCATTTTTGCAAAACTAATGCAAACATATTGACATCTTCTTAAAAATGCCTGACAGTTAAAATGTTTCAATTATTAGCCTAAAACTTAAGCATGTTAAATGATTTAGGAAGGATGGTCTCTGACGTAAGTTTTAGGTCTGAAACTCTGAAATCTTTAAAAATGAAAAATCAATATTCAGCATGTGACAGGAGAATGCTGCAGTCTCCCATATGCGCAGGAAGTTATACGTAGAGCTGGTGAGTAAAAATGATGTTTCGTCTTGCATAATAGGAAAAACAAAATGACAGTAAATATTATGATCTTTTCTGATTAGACAGCTAGAGATCTTTTTGCTTTTACACTAGAGGTCTCTGAGATGCTAACTTCCAAGGACTAAATGACTTGCACTCTTCTAATGAATACCACCTGTAGGTTAAGAGAATCTTTAACATTTAAATAAGCTCCATAAAAAGGTGTGTTCTTTGTCCATCTGTACAAAGGAATCATTCTTTTCAGCTTTGAACCAGATTGAAACCAAACCTCTTGAGTCCCAGTTCACTGCCTTACCCAAATTAATGCCAAATCCAATATAATGAAGGTAAAAGCGAGATGGAAAACAAAAGATCAGTGGCTTTCATTTAGTAAGGAGGAGATTATCCTGGGAAATAAGTTTAATGCAAAGCTAGATAAAGTGAAGCAGAACCCTTTAATAGAAAGGGAATTTGAGCTGTATACAACTAAGAAAATGGAGCTCGGTGCGGGTTGCTGTGTTTTATGCTGCACTCATTAATATGAAAGTGACTTCCTAAATAAATACTGTTAATAGTCTCTAACTGTAAGGACCAGATTTTGAGAAAAGGCCTCAATGTAACCTCTGAATTTCTGCCATTCTCTTCATGTGCAGAATTTTTGCCGTGCAAAGCTGGTAGATGACTGACTACCCAGTTTTACATATACCAAATACCACTTGCAACTGCAAGTTAAGGGCTTTGTGAGCACAGTGTTCCGTGGCTTCTGAAACTTGGCCCCAAAATGTCAGTCATAACCAAAATTTCCACAATGCCTATTGTATTGTGCATGATAAATCGGTCTGAGGAAAGTGTGAACTCTGTTATGGATTTTCCATCAGAGTGAAAGAAGGAACCTATCAGTCTGTGACAAGAAGCCTGTCCACCATATGAATTATTTGTGGTGTTTCAATTCCAGTTGTGTTCTTGGAAGATTGAGACAGACTGAATAAAACTTTTTGTGTTGACATATAGTAATCCAGCAAGCTGAGCAATGAAACTGATGCTGCTTTATTAAATGCTCTTTCAAGGAGAATTGCAGCTGACCAGTCCTCCTATTCCTGTGCTAAGTTTGAAACTAGAAGCCCTTTGGATTTTCAGATCTTTCAGTGAGAAGCTCCGAATGTGGAAATCCCCTAAAACTTCCAGATTGCTGTGTTAGTCACACACAGACTATTTGTTAATACTACAAAACCTGGAATTCCAGGGTTTCTGTAGTACAGTAGCACACTTATTGATGAATGAATAAAATGTGTTTTTCTCATTGCAGATGATTAGTGCTGAAGCTCCTGTGCTGTTTGCCAAGGCTGCTCAAATATTCATAACAGAATTGACGTTACGGGCATGGATACACACTGAAGACAACAAACGCAGGACACTGCAGGTAATGGCAAAGCTAATCCTACTTGGTCTTGAGCTGCCATGCTTCTTTTCTGGCCCTTTACTTTCTAAATGTGCACCCACCTTTAATGGGTATATATTCATCTTTTTATAGTCTGATATTTATGGTGTATCAAGACCTCGTTATGCGTACAACCGCACTTCTTCAACTGTGCTTTCATTCTTGGGTTTCCTTTCTCTGCTTTTATAGCAGTTAGCTAGTAAATTGTGGTCTGTGTAGTTGTTTTGGAACCCCTCACTTCCTCAGTCTTCACCTGTATTCATATTCATAGATTGTAAGGCCAGAAGGGACCTTGGAAGATCATTGGGTCCAGCCTCCTGCATCAAGCAGGAATGCCCCCTGCACCGTGCAATGTAGATTGCATTCTTTCAGTAATGTGCCTAACACAAGCAAAGTTAGGATAATGCACAATCAGAGGGAATAGCAAAACTCTGTAAAGATAGAAACCTAAGAATTGTCCCACACAAAACTAAGCCAGAGGTCCCTCTAACATGTCCCTAGGGATAACCGGTGTTGTGTGCATTAATTATCATCACTCCAGGCCTCAAACCACAGATAATTGTGTGACACTGGAGCCATGCTGGATTCCTTGCTTCACTTTGACAGGCAAATTGCCACGATGGTAAAAAGTGGCATCTAGTTTCAAACCAAAACTTCCATTCTCTTGGAAGTGCATCTAGCCACTCTGATTCTGCCTTTCCATTGCTGCCAGGTTAGGCTAATGAAGCTTACTCTGCCTGAGCTTGAACATCTTCAGCAAATGAAGTCTCATGATTTACTAAATGCAAACAGCACTCTCTTAAGCAACAAGAGCCAGCACAAGAATTTCACACTAATGTATTTCAAAGTCCAGTAACTCCTTGTTTGTTTCAGAATCAGTTTAAAAATCCTGATCCTAATCTTTAAGGACCTGAGTTAATTGAGGCCTTGTTATCTTTAGGACTACCTCCCCCTCCACAGCAGCTGCCATTGCAAAACAGCTGCTTTCCATGTGGACTGCGCAGTTGGAGAAACACAGCTTTAGCTTATCAAAGCATTCTTAGTGGACCTGAGTTATGGAAGTCCATGGCAGAGGAAATTAGATTGAACCCAGGCCTGACTGTTAAAAAAAAATACAAGAATATATCTTTTTCCAGAGAAGATGTTCCTTAAAATATACACTGCCTGGGGAAAAGAGAAGAAAATGTCTTTCTCGCACTCTTTCTTCATGACCATTGTTAAGTACTTAAATGCCAAGATGATACATGCCTCAAATGCTTCAGATAACCTGAAGTGTGAGGCCTGATAACCCTTCTAATTTGTTCTCCTAGCTAACAGGAAAAAATGCAGGTATTTTTAACTCAATCACGTTGTGCTTATCACATGTAGAAGTCTCTAGCTTCAGTAAATTTCCTTCACTTCTCCTAGTGTTGAAATAGGATCTCCCCTTTTTTGTGTAAACTCTTGAAATCAACCCCACTCTTTCTAAAGATGGTGTACAGGTTTGGCTACTTTCCATCCATGCATTTCAGCAGTTTTTTATGCACAAATACATACTTTCTTTTAAAAAAAAAGAAAAAAATCAGCTGCTTTTGCCCTTGAGCTTTGTCAGGACTTGACCTAGTGCTCTCCAGCAATGATGGACTGCAACCTAACTCTTGTCGGTTCAGATTCTCACTATCCTGATGTGACACTAATCTTATGGTTACTCTTCAAGTAGTGTATAGCCCTATCGCCATCTAAGGTGATAAGTACTAGTAATTTTTAGGGGATAATGTCATTTCCAACAGCCTCTCACAGTTGCCTTGGGCTCTTTTCTCCTTCATGGTTTTTTCTTCTGATGCATTTAGTCTGCTGAGTCTAGATCTTATCTTTTTGTTCTGCATGCTTTCTCGTAACCATCTCCATTGCCGTCCTGCATGCTAAGTCTGTTCCTTTAATGTTAATTGGGATGCTTCTCTCCAAATAAGACCCTGTAATTCCCAGTTAATTCTTTCTATTTCACTCACCCTCCCTCCCTGCCCCTGCCATCCCACCTCTCCCCCTGGTTATGTATTCTTCCACTCTAAAATATTTTAAGCAATCTCCAGGCTGTTGCTGTAAACCTTGTTCTCTTTATGTTTCTAATTCCTCTTTATGATGTCACAACACTACCCCCTTGAGAGAATATGGAATATAATCAAACTAAATTCACCTTGTAAATTAGTGATTCATTTGCACTTGCACTGGATTTGGCTCAAAAAGTAACTAGCAAGAGTAGTCTCTTACTTGCCCCAAAAACAACTGTTGGAGGTTGTTAATAGTATTGATGCTTGCCTCATTAAGTGTTAGCCCAATGCAGTAGTGAGATAGATAGTTTAAGTACAGATATTTGGTTCCATAATGGCTACTATATAGTATCCACTTAACTTACGTGGCAATTAGTATACTTAAAAAGTGCACACTAGTAAATCTGTAGGAGCCGTTAAATAGAAACCTATTAAAAGACTGAATTTTACAGCATCAAGAGTATTGCAGAAGAAGGACTGTAGTCCATCAGCCTGGGGTTTCTGAGGTCCAAGTAAAAAGTTAAAAGTACTATCCAGTTTGTGGTGATCTTTATTGCATACAAAAATGGTTGTCAAGTTTGCTTTTTTATCTTGAAACTAAACTTTTTCTGCATTACTAGATAAAAAGGAGTGAAATAGTGGAATGAAGATTGTATTCAGAGCTTTTTCTGAGTACACACAAGCTGTTGATCTGTTACTAATTTGCCTCTTGCTTTGTTGTGTTGCAGGGTCTCAGAATAATGTACTTATAGCTAGCTGGCCAAGCTTGCAGTGCCCTGGCTAGCCTCTGCTATTTCTCTGATTCTGCCTTTGAGTGTGATTTGACTTGATATAGCTAGCACGCCAGATCTAGTCCAGAGTTCCTGGGAACATTCCACGTGTCAGTGGGCAGAATCCAATTGATTTGCGAGGAATATCAAGGACCAGAAGCGAGAAAATGAGGCATTTACAGCCTTTGTCCCCTGTTTAGCAAATCTACAACTGCAGGCACCTTTAATTGTTGATAGCTAAAGGAACTGGTTAAGGGTAGCCACGGATATCTTCCAAAATAACAATATCCCTGTATCACTGTTCAGCATGCGTGAAGTAAGGGGGAGTACAGAATGGCAAGGGAGTTGCTGTGGTTCAGTGCACCCTCTCCCATCATAGGCCCCTTACCATGCTGCGCAAGCTTCCCATGGTCTGGGGCAGGTGGCAGCTCTGGCCCGGGCCTACCTGGAGCCATGGGCACTGCTTGCCCCCATCCTGTACTTGAATCTAAGATGAGTGGTTTTCCCTCCGCCATTGGGGGGTGACCTCATCTTGGATTCAAGTAAATATGGCAGAGGAAGGAAGGAGGGGGCACAAATCCCCTGGAATGAGCAGAGCAAACAGAGAGGGTACAGGTAAGGGAGAAGGCAGTAACAGCACACATGCCCTGGCAGAGAAAGAGAGAATTCTAGGGCTGGGTTGGAAGGAAGGTGGGCACATCAAGACCTGTCATGGGGAGGGAAAATGGGAAGTAGGCCCCTGGCATGACAGAGGAAGTGGAGGAGTTGAAGGAAATTAGAGGGATAGGAAGATAGGCACAGGGAATATTTTTTTAATCACAAATGATTTAAATGAAATGAAGGAATGCAGGAAGGTCCTGCTTGTGTTTTTAGTGCGCTCAACCCACAGATGCTGCAAAGGGAGCAACGCCCTGCATGTGTGCACCAGAGTCATTCAGGAAAATCAGGGTTATCGACTCTGGCAGCTACAATTATTTCCATTTGTGTTTTGTTGCAGAGGAATGACATAGCCATGGCAATTACCAAATTCGATCAATTCGACTTTCTCATTGATATTGTTCCAAGAGATGAACTGAAGCCTCCAAAACGCCAGGTGAGAAAAGAACACTGTTACTGCTATTCTTTTATGTATATGGGTGAATTTTCACTGCGGGAGTTTCTGCCTTTATGAGGTGAGCTTCAAATGTAAGTAAAATACATTTATCTGCTGGCTTGCAGCATTTAATGTATTTCAGCTTCTTGGATCTTTTGTGTTTTCTATTGTCAGTGTGGTAAATACTGGTGGTGACTGCTGTTGCCATTTGCCTCTGAGACGCATAATTGAGCCCAAGTTAGAAACCGGAGTTATAGCGTGTGTGTGTTAAGTACTGAAAGCTCCAACAAAAATTGCATAAAACAGAACATGTGATTGTCATTACGGCGCTTACAGACATGTAAGTAACAAGCGTGTGGCTGCATATGGTTGCACCCAGTATTTGCTTGCATAGAGAAGAAAAAATATGTGTGTTCAAAGTCCATCGTTTTTTTCCACCGCTGAAGCTCATGAATCTGTTTCATGAAACATTTCTTCTTCAGTATTTGTAATTGCTCTGTTTTAAAGGGCCATAATGACTGCTCACATAGGTGGCAAGAGCACTGGGCAGGAATTTGGGATACCAGACTTCTATTCCCAGCTGTATTCTCTGCCTGCTGAGAAATTTCAGACCAATCATTTCATTGCCTCTGTGTTTCCATTTCTCCATGTTGTAAAATGTGGGTAACAATACCAGTCCCCATGTTAAGCTTTTTAATTTAATGATGAAAACTAGTGTGTTGGAGCCACACATATAGATTTTGACCCAAACAATACTTTTTATATGTGTGTGTGTGTAATATATTAGTGTGTGTGTGTAATATATTAGTGTGTGTGTGTGTGTGTGTGTGTGTGTGTGATATATATGTGTGTGTGTGTAATATATTAGTGTGTGTGTGTGTGTGTGTGTGTGTGTGTGTGTGTATATATATAAATAAAATAACAATTTTTTTTCTTTTGGCATTTCCTCATCCAAATGTCCAACTGGCAGCACGAGTTAGATCAGGGGTGGCCAACCTGTAGCATGTATGCCACAAGTAGCCCAGGCAGCCTCTGTGTGTGGCACAAGGCAGATCAAACACAACAGCAAATAGGGCATAAAGCAAAGCAGTGGATCAGGCAGAGGAAGGAGATTGGATTGGCACCCAGGGAGGGTGCAGGGCTAATTTGTGGCATGCCTGCCAGAAAGGTCAGCGCTCACTGAGTTAGATTATAGAAAATTTAAGCTATTGGCATTTTGCAGTAACAATTCTTTTTAAATTGGAAATTTGTATGAAACCGACTTTGTCATCGTGGCTGAGGGACAAGATTGTTAATAAAGATGATATATAAAAAATGTTGTTAACATTACAAATGCAAGAATGTCTAGAAACCCATCCACCTCTTGCATTTTGTCTGGTGGATAAGAAGGAAACATTGCTTCCCATACAAGTACCACAACCTGCATCTTCCTGGGCAGTCGATGCTACTGTAAACATCCTTGACTGGAAGCTGTAAGGTGCTAGAAGGAGCTTTCAGTCGGATGTTTACAGCGGCAGGCTGCCACAGTCATCCGAGTACCAGGTGTGCTTTGAAACTTTTAACAGGTTTGTGCTTTAAGAGTCCTTGTTTCTCTGCCTTTCTTGAGACCGTGCCAAAAAATGGACCAGGTTCAGGGTAAAGCCTAGTTTCATTACCTCTGAAGGAACAGAGTAACAGATCTAGCTTTCTGCTAGGCCAGTTCATCACATGTTATCTACAAGGTTTATAATTTCCCCTGCTGTTTAAAATAACCTGTTCAGTTAGATAGCTGTTCATCTCATTTCTGTGGTCAGACTGCTGTACCTCTTTCACTGCTAGCTGCATGGTAGACTTAATTAAAGGTGGGTTAACATCCAGTAGCTTATAGCCTTCTAGAACTTATCTAGAGTTGCAAGACGAGACTTTGTTCAGTAACTCCTGGAATCGGAAGTTCCTGAACTCTTGACTTCTTTAAAGTGTGCAAAGCTGAAGCGATCTCTTCCTCTCTGGGTAATTTGGGTCCAGCACTCTGTAGGTACTATAACAAATGCTTTACTTGCTGCTGGGACCACTTTTGTGATACTTGTGAAGGTTTGAGTTTGCCTCTGAATTGTGGAAAGCGCAAGGTAGCATTTAGAATTTATTGCACTAGCAACTACCCTAGCACCTCTGGAAAAGTCTGCTTGCTTAAGGATAAATCCCTGCAGCCATATTGCATAGGAATTGTTCAGTTGTGCATTGAGCTCGGTGAAGTTTCCCTTCAAATTCAAATTTGGCTCACACACAAAAAATATCTTTGTTTCAGATGCAGAAAACAGCACTTTCAGTACTGATATTAATCTTTGGTTTTGCACCGTCTTTTATCAAAGTCTTCATGGTGTTGGTAGTGGCCCTTCAAAAGAAGAAAATACACATTTATCCTTTTTTTTTGATGACTTCTTGCTATAGGCCCAATCACATACCCTGTCATTTCTGGAAACCTGTGGCTTTCTAGTGAACAAGAAAGTCTATAACACCCACTTCACTCCCAAATGCTACATGGAGTAGTAATAGAGTACCACTTACTGGAAGGCATTCTTCATGGGGGGAAAAAACACGCAGATAAAAATCAGCAAAGTCCAATTATTACAGTACATATTTGTTGGGAATTATGTGGTCTAAATATACTAGCTCGCATGATGAATGTCGTATATGAAAGCATTACGTGCATTCCTTCCTTTCCCTAAGACTTGCTCGCTTATCCCCACATCAGTAAACAGAATACAGTTTCTCCAAAGATAACCTATTATTTACCAAAATAGTGGAACAGATTCTTAGTGGAGCACCCTAGACAGCAGCAATATGGAAGTAATTAAGAATACTAACTTGTGGAGAGGGGGCCTGCATCTCAGGAGACCTGACACAATTGGGAAAACCAGTTAAGCATAAAGGCATAACTAGGCTGTAAGTGAGAACAATCAGTCATTGCCCCAGAGAGGAAGTCGGTCTCTCTCCCAGATGTATTCCTGTTTGATGCTCCCAGGCTTCGATTTTATACAATACTCTGTAGTTCTGTTCAGGTAGGACAGGCAAAACACCTTAAACGTAATAATACTCCAGCCCCATTCCTAAAGGACATTGGGTTGTTGCCTTGCATGTTTAACATTTCTTATGAAAAGAATGCAGTAAGAATAGTATTTATTTATCTAATCCAAAATATAAAATACTTTGGTAGTATGTTACAGCAAATAACAGTAACTGTACACGTTCATGTCAGTCTTTCTCAGTGATCCACTACAATAAAGCTTTCTCCTCTGGGTTGCATAGCACAAATACCTGTGGAACCACGTCAGCGCTTGCTTTGAGATAGGCTTTGCAAAATCTCTGCTGCAGATACACCTGCAGATGTCCGTGAACAATGCTGAATCAACTAGAAATGCATTTTCCAGGAGCAGGAGAGTTATGATGGGTGATTATAACTTATAAAGTAGAGGAAGAATTTTTAGTGGAAAAGCACAAGTCTTATTCAACAACTTTGCAAAGTTGCTGCCTGAAGGATGAAAGTTTGCATTTTTGGCTAAGGCTGCAATCTCTATTTTATCTCTACTGCAGCTAAGATCATTTGACAAGTTAGTGGTGATTACATGGAAGAGTTGGTGGAGAAATGCACTGTTATATTGCTCTGATAACTCAAGCTATGGGCTGAATATAAAAGGCTTCAAATCATACCATGTAACCTGGTTTAAACAGGTTCATATTTTAAAGCCATTTCTGCCTGGAGCACTGCGAAACATTAACCTGCACTGCATGCTTTAGCACGATGGTGAGTTGGTTTAATTCTTGTTCGAGAGCTTAATTAGGAATCCAGAGTGCTGCAGTCCTTGAAACAGGCTCTCTGAGCAGCTTGCTGTGCCAGAACTGCTACAACTGTTCCCTTTGCGTGATTTTTCATGATTGGATGAAGAGAGACGTGACTTTAACCGGTGTACTCTGCTAATAGCAAGAACAGCAGTGAATACGTTCTAACTTCATTGTGAATAGCATGGAGGGTTTATGCTGTAAAGAGCCCAAGGAAGCAGAGTGAAAATAATCCAGTGAATTCACTCGCATAGGAAAGGGTGTAAAAATAAATCTTGGGTGTTTGGGTCTGTACTTGCCACAGGGTGGGTGGTATTGTTTACTCCTAGATTCAAGCTCAGAAGTTATTTCTTTCTCAGCTAACACGTTTCTTTTGCTTTCTTAGGGAGAAATATGCATAAATGTTTAGGGAGGGTGGAGTGCACTTGCACTTCGATTTTTCTCTGATCTGACTCTGCTTTGCATTGTGTATAAATAAATACATTCAGGTTTGATAGTGCTGCCTTCGTACGCTGTAAGGGTATCGAGTCAGCAGTTTTGCATGCTTTCCCCCACATCATCCCTTGCCAGCATGGTCTCACCTTTCCTTTGAAGAAATCAGCTCATATGAGGGAAGGGGAAGCTCAGGTTCTAGAGGCGATTCGGTCTTTAAACCCTGTTCAAACTGACAACAAAGGTGCCAGTTAGTGTCAGGGATGCAGGCACCTGTCTGCTGGGAACTGCACTCATTTTACCTACTCCACTAAGAAGCCATCCGGTGAATTTTTTTCAGTTGCTTTCAGCTTGAGCATGTACTGAACTGGCAGCTTGGAGGGAAAGGTATCACGTTTCTAAACCCCTCACCATCTGAACTACCCATATCTTGATCTTGTTTCTCTTGAGCATATAAATTGTTTCATGTTAGCATCCTAAATAAGTAATTATAATTTATACTGATTTATGGGGAGCCTGCGTTTAATACAGGGGAGTTGAGTAAGCTTTAGTAATCTGGAATCTACCATGCCGTAGCATGTGTAAACATCCTACACTCTCAGCTGTGAACTCAAGGTGGCTGGGAGAGGGTTGTTTACGCCTTCTGCCATGGTCTGAACATCTGGAGGAGTGCATTCATTACCAGGTGTAAGAACAGTCTGCTTCTTAGGAGCCGAAATGTGGCTTCCTGAATGCAAGTTCATCTCTGGCTAGTGTAATAGCCAAACGTTTCACTTTGTCAGCTGAAATACCATTAACCAGCATGGTTTCAATGTTCCCAAAGCCATGGTTAGATAAACCTGAACAGGAAAAAGCTGCAGCATTTCCTGCACCTGTAACAAAGAATTATAGCAGGATCTTTAGGTCTTTGATATAATAAATGTTGAGGTTCTTCAATGCCCCCCCACCGGAATCAGATAGTGTGCAATAGCAATGCTTGTCAGAATCATTCCAGTTCTGGAAAACTTCTGTTCCCAGATCCATTGGCATATAGATCAGGTTTGTGGTTTTTACTTCCAGTGGTTTAACAGCAAGAGCTAGATTAAGACTGTTCTGCATACAAGCTAAAGAGCAGGCTTCAGAGAGACAGTCTTTGTAAGTCTCTTCCTGGTGCAATTGCAATTAGTTCTGTGCTGAGATAACAGGCCTTGATGGAATTTACTGACAAGCACTGCAGTTGCATGCTTTTTAACTGTGGTAATTGTTTGCTCATTTGCTTCCCATAATGAAATGGGTGATTACTTTGCATTCAGAAGTCTGAAATGCTTTGATTTTGTGTAGCTCAATAAAAGTCTGTGGAAACCCATTATTTCCATTTTGATTTATCATTATGGGGCAGGTTTTGAATTCACTTTCCTCTGGCTTAAACCATTGAGAACCTAACATTAAGGATTCTGTTGCGCTGAGCATGTTTATAAGGATGATAGACTTTTGTAGTTTAATATTCTTTTCTCCTTACCTTTTTCCTCTCGTGCTGCAGGAAGAAGTGCGTCAGGCTGTGACTCCAGCCGAACCTGTCCAGTACTATTTCACTCTTGCTCAGCAGCCTGCTGCAGTACAGGTACAAGGGCAACAGCAAGGACAACAGACCACCACATCTACAACTACCATCCAACCAGGACAGATAATCATTGCTCAGCCTCAGCAGGGGCAGGTCAGTGAGCAAACACAGCTTGAGGGATTTGTGATTTTTTCATAGCCAGTTAAATCCTAGATTTCCTTGATCTACACCAAGGCTGTCCAGTTGGTGGCCCATAGGTCATGTACGGTCCTCAAAGGGATAACCTGTGGTCTTCAGGCTTGGGACTGAGTGCCACTCCTGCCATTACTGTCCTGCTGCTGCTACCAGAGCCTCCAGGCTCCCCTTACCTCCTCCAGCTTCTGCTTCCTGCCCTTGTCCCTGGAGGCCAGGCAGAGCAGCCTGTGGGTCTAAGGGAGCCTGTGGCTGGGAGAGTTGGAGGAATCTGGAGATGTTGTTGGGGGGAGAGGGGCATGCAGTGTGCAGCCCAGGAAGCCTCCAGCCACTCCCAAGTTGAATGGCCTGGATCTGCAGTATGTAGAAAAAAATATAGCATGTGTATTTGGCAGGTGCTGTATTTCTTACCTGACACACTCTGCAACTAATTACTTCCTAGCCATTCACTAGGAAAGCTATTGCCATATTATGGGCAAACTGTATTGTAATGTCTCAATTTAAGGTCATCGTGCAACTCCTGAATGAGAGCAAGCAAGGCTACAACAAAGAGCGTTTTCATTTCTTCCAAAATCAAGTTCTATATTTTTCATGCACCGTTGTGGTGGGGAATTAGCTGTTTGGTCACTTAATCATCCCTTTGTTAATGCAGAATTTTGTCCTAATAAAAAAAGGACTGTAGGATAACCATAGGCTGCCTAGTATATCTCCTCTAGGGAGTCGCTAAAGAAACAGGTACATCCTTTATGTATTTTAAAAATAGATTGCATGCACTGGTTTTGTTTTCATGAGGTTTTACAAAATCATCCTGCCACTTAAAAAATTTAGCTATCCAAATAAATTATGTATTGTGTAACTTGTGAAGGGAGAGGTGCCTCCAGTTAACCAGAACTCCCAGCAAGTAACATCTCCCAACAACAGCAGAGAACTGGGGTTTTTTTGATGTGGCTGAAAGTCTCTAGAAAACGTAGCACTGTCCATCACCTCCCAGATTCAAAGGATAAACCGCTTTTAATGTCATAGTTCTGTATTCATCTCAGCTGCTTATTGTAAAATGGTCTGGGAGACCTGGAACTCTATGGACAGACTGTGTACAATGTAAGTCGCATGCTTTGCACTGAAGCAGAGATAATTAAAGCATTTATACGAGCCTCATTAATAGGAGAATGATGTTCCCATATTTTCAAAAACACATGTCGGTCTGTTGCTTCACAGGAGTAAGCTGATCCCTTATTCCAAAGCGAGTGAGGGCAGCTGTGTGACAGATTCTGCCACTTGCATTCAGAAGTGAAGCTGTAATGCATTTTTGTCCTTGAATGGGCACTGTCAATCATGTATATCTCACAGCTTTACTGGCTTTTATTCTTACCCCTGTTTATAAACACATTCTAAAGCTGGAAAGTAGCTGCTGACACTTTGAAAATAAAATATAGTATGTATGACATGGGTGGGCAGTTGAAGAGAGAACATGGAGCCAGCCTAGTTTCTCTGTGTTTAGTAAAAGTTTGTTGCTGTGTTTCTGGTGTTCTAGGTACCAGTGTAGCTTTTTTTTGTCCGTACAAGCATCTTTTTTGGAGGAAAGACATTCCAGTGATTATTCCAGTGTCTAACTCCGGAATTGAGAGACCTGGCTTCACGTCCTTGCTGTGCCCCAGGCTTCCTGTGTGGTATTTGCCAAGTCACGTAGCCTCCTTGTGGTTCACTTCCCCCATCTGTAAAACGGGCAGAATAGCACGTTGCTGGCATGGGTGTTGTGAGGATAATACATTGGACTGTAAGGTGTCCAGGTACGACAGTAATGAGGGCCAGGTAAGCACCTGAGAGGGATCTTAAGTAATAGCAAAAATGCATGTTCACATCTGCAGATAAGGTTTAGTATTAAACTGTGTAGATTTTGTTGAAATCTAAAATTACCACTTTCTGTTTCTTGGCAGCAATAGATTTAGAATCCTGGAGATATTCTCTGCTAGCTTTTTACAGCATGGAAGTAGGCCACATTTTAAGCATCAGCACCGGGGTTTATAAAATAAACCCTTGTTACTGGCTTTAGACCTCTGAGGTTCTGCTTCCTCTCAGACCAGGCGGTCAGCGTTCCTTCCTGTCTTTGATTGCAGACTACCCCAGTGACCATGCAGGTTGGCGAGGGTCAGCAGGTACAGATTGTCCAGGCACAGCCCCAAGGACAAACGCAGCAGGCTCAGAGTGGAACTGGGCAGACTATGCAAGTCATGCAGCAGATCATCACCAACACTGGAGAAATCCAGCAAATACCGGTAAGGCTCTACCAGAGAACACAGAACAGTCTAAGGTCCTGGGTCAAACTCTGTTCTGTCAGCACTGTTATAGGACCAGGCATCTGTGTACTCTGATGGTGAGAGAGGAAATGTATTGAGTGGTATTTTTTGGCCCCTCTTCCCACTAGAGAAAAAGTGTATGAATCTGATATGTGGCACAGAGAAAAAAAATATAACTTCATTCAGACTTTTTTTTACTGGGGGAAAATAATTAAGCATGTTTAGGAAGCTGTAAATAAATCTTTACAACATATGCATTTATGCACTTGCCGCATAAGTTTGTACTACCAACAGGGTCCTCACCAAGGCATATTTTACCTCTGTTTGCTTGATTCTGCACCTGACCATGAGACAGGTGCTGTCTGTGGCACTGCCACAACAATTAACCCTGACTTTCACAGCACATCTTGTAAAATGTTTTCAGATTACTAGAGGGAAAGTTCTAAAGGAGCAGAAAATGCTTTTATTTTAATTATTAGGCTTTCATATTACCATAGGCCTGGCTGTAGTCCTCAGCATTTGGTCTCTAAACACTAAGAACAGAAGTAAAATTCTGGCATTTGTCCTAAATAAGCCTATAGGTCAAATGGATGTCATTTTTTTTCCCTCTCTGTAGGCTCTAATCACAACAAAGTTCTTGTCTGGAAAATTTCATGCTCCTAGAAAATCTTCCAGCTCTGTGTGTTTGAACACCAACATACAGGGTTAGACTCGATGACCAAGAGAACCGTTTCTAATTGCCTTTGGCTTCATTTACTGAGGCTTTTGTACAGCTGTGGTGAGAACTGTGACCACAGAAGGATCAGTCCCACTTGTCAGGATGAGCAAAGCTTCAGCCTAGTTTTGTTTTAGTAAACATCCCTGCCTTGACGCAGCATTGTAGAAAGATTAATAATTTAGATTTTGAGTGTTTTGAGGTTGAGTTCCCAGCTCTTTCCCCTTTCTTTCAGTTCTCAACTACTTGGCTTAAAGTGTAGGGCAGAAAGGAAATATGTTTCATGCCAAATGTAGCACCCCCCTTCTCTGCTCTCTCTCCCCCCAGGAGCATCTTTTACTTACGAAGTGTTATTCATGCTCTGCTCAATTAGAGGCCATGTGATCTATAGGAGTTTAGAGCACTCAGTAAAAACAGCCTTCCTAGAATTATGCTCATATAAAATGCACATAATGTTCCCTGTTCTCTGTGTTTCTTCTACACACACTCTTGGTTTCCTTTCCATATGCATGTCTCTCCAAAGGGTTTGTTCTTAAAATTGCTTGGGAAAGAGATCCTTTATGCTAGTGAGCTTGTTTTATTATAGTTGTGCTTACTAATATGACTCCAGTTTAGTTGAAACAACTGTTTGATTGCTGAAACTTGGTATTCAGTAGAGACATGTGAAGAGCAAAATTCCCTGCAGGGAAGGGACTTGTGAGATCCTGCCAAGAGATGAGGGAATCTGCGCGACGCTGCAATACATGGCTTTTGCAGTGTTTCACTGAAAATTATTGTTGATCCCCCATATATGTGGATCTCTGGTGGGAGCTTGCCTTGTACGCAAAAGGATAGAGACCTGAGATGCAGTGTTTGTAGGGACGTGTTCCCTCTGGCTTTTCATACTCTTCCTTTCGCAGGGGCCTAAAAGGCATCTCAACTCGACCCTCCTTCAGCTGCTTCCACTTGTCTATAGATGCAAGCCAAATTACTAAGTGCCCGACCTGCTAGTTTTTGGGATCGCAGCATCAAGCTTAAAACAAATTCAGTGTTGTTCTGATTCTTTTGACATCTGACCGCTCTGTTCTGCATCTTATCTGGACTGAATATTGCTCAGTAGATACTCATGTTCAGGGCTGTTTACACGGTAGATTTGAAACCTACAGGCTTTGACCCCTGCGTGTGCTGCAGTGAACTGACTCTCCTAAGAGGTGGACGTAATAGGTTCTTTCCTATTTAGAAGGATCACACGTACTGAGACTGAGTAATGTGCTGCCTATCACTTTCTGTAGGGTAATGTAAGAGACAAGGCTAGTGCATTCTCTTCTGCAATAATCCACGTGGATCTCAGTACACCATCAGGAAATAAGCTCCAGCATTCTGCTTGTGTAAAAAGCCAGTATCCCCTGATGTCCAGCTGAGCAGATAAGCAAACCAGTGAAGTTGTGTTGCTTACCTGACATCGTTTGTGCCAAAGAACTGGCATTAGTAAAGTCTCTGGTGCTCAGAGCACCATACACTTTGCTCTAGAGGATTCATACTCCTCTTTATCATTGCCAATGATGTGTTCTGTATACCTTCAAATATAGAACACTGTCCTCTAAGGTCCATCCTCAACACCACGAAGAGATCGACTGCCATCCCTCACCAGACTCATTCCCTGCTAGTTAATCAAGAATGGCCATTATGCAATAATCCTCCAGCATCCCAATAGTATGCTGTTGTACCCTATTGGGATCACTGGAGTGCACCGTCTCAAGCGCTGAGGAGCAGGTCTCTGCCATCTTCCAAAGACGAAGTGAAGCTCCTCATCATGAGATTTTTTTTAAACAGGGCCTTCAGTTATGCCATCTGCAGCATGGTTGTTATACCACTTTTGCTATCCTGCTTTTCTGGATCACCCTATTTGATTTCGGTGCCTTCCTTTTAATGGCTCATTTTCGACACTGATTTCCTCCAGGGCTCAGTTAAGTCACATCCTGTCTCTTGCAACATATACATAAAAACGAATACTATAAAACTTGTAGCACTCTCTGTGTTAAGTTTGAGATGTTCCTCAGAACCCGCTTGCTCCGGTTTTCACATATTTATAACTTTCTGGTAGAAAAAAAAATCTGCATTATTATTTTCTATGCTTGGTGTCATCCCCTGTGTCACAAAATGGCTCCATTTTTTTCTTCGGCTTTGAGGGAAGGTGGATGGACAAGCCAGAGTAGTTTTGCTTTCAAAACTCAATAACTGAGCATTAACATTTTGAGATGTTCATGTTTGCTGGATTTCAGAGCATTCGTCCCTTTTTTTTGAAGACTCAAAAGCACATTATGAGTATGCTACTTCTGTTTTACCCATTATGTTAGTACTGTAGTTTAACATCTAAATATCTTTACTGAAATATCTAGAGAACTATTTCCAGTTCTTCCCCCCACACAGAAAGGATGTCGATAGATTGGAGAGAGACCAGCACAGGGCAATGAAAATAGTTAGACCGAGGGGGATTTAATAGCAGCCTTCAACTCCATGCAGGGGGGTTGCAAAGAGGATGGAGCTGGACTGTTCTCAGCAGTGGCAGATGACAGAACAAGGAGCAATGGGCTCAAGTTGCAGCAAGGGAAGTTGAGGTTAGATATTAGGAAGAACTTTCTTACGAGGAGGGTAGTAAAGCACTGGAACAGGTTACCCGGAGGGGTTGCAAAATCTCCATCCTTGGAGGTTTTTAAGACCCAGCTGGGCAAAGCCTTGGCTGGGATCTAGTTGGGGATGGTCTTGCTTGGAGCAGGGGGTTGGACTAGATGTGACCTCCTGAGCTCCCTTCTAACCTTCGTTTTCTCTGATTCTGTGAAATGTTTATGCTCATGTGGAGCCTTTAACTGCTGTGGAGGTTATTACTTAGAGGCCAATATTGGAGCTCCTAGACAAAACTGGTGAAAGCTGTAGTGTTTGTATAGATTCCAAGACCAATAATTCTTGTTCCAAAAGCTTCCAAGCTTCCCTAGTGAATCCAAATTTTCTTAACCCTATTTCAAAGGAAATATAAAATGCACTTGTATATAGCAAATTAACCACAAGGGAATTAATTTAAATATTCACAAGTCAGTCAGTGGAAAAAGTTATGTTTTTAGTAGTAATATTGATGCAGACCATATACCAGCCTCAGTTAGGTCAGGAGTAAAGTCCTGTGGGAATGTTCTGTGTTAAAAACTTGGATGTCATTTCCTTGCAATATTCCTGATTCATGTCCGTGCTGTTCCCTCCTTCTCAAGAAGATGAAACGTCATCAAACATACAAAAAAGATGAAAATAATATAATAGCATCATTATTTGCAACCATCTCTGATAGCAGTTTTCTTGTTTTGTAGGAGTCATTTATATGCAAAAGAATTAACTTGATCAGTCATCATACTTGACATGAAAAGTATATGCCCTTGCCTCCAGAGGTCTTTTACCTTGTAGAAAAGGCATGCTACAGTGGCTATTTCAGGTTTAATTAAAATAATTTGAAGTTTCTCTTATTTTCTTTGACAAGATCCATGTAACTATTCATTTAGAGTGCTAATCAGTTCAGCCCTCCAAATATGTTCTATTACCGTGGTTTCTGTTGTGGAAACAAGAAGGCAAGTTTGTGTGTTTCAGGTTACACAGTGTCTGTTTAATTTTTCTTCCCTACCCCACTCCCACTTGTTCCTAGGTTCAGTTGAATGCTGGCCAGCTGCAGTACATCCGCTTAGCTCAGCCTGTGTCGGGCACCCAGGTGGTCCAGGGACAGATCCAGACACTTGCAACTAATGCACAGCAGGTATGTACTCCTGTACTAAGGGCCTGATGTTAACTCTTAAACTCATTTGCGTTTCAGTAGGTATGTCCATTTTGGCTTTGTCTGAAAAACCATAAGTATATCCATTTCACACATGTAAAATGGATAGCTGGCCCAGTGCCTCACATGAAACTAATATCGATATATAGAGCTAGAGATGTAGATATAATCTCTTTCTTTTGCAACCCATCATTGACTTGGTTATTAGCCCACATTGGGTGTGCATCAGGTGTTAACCTATAACCCATCTCCTGTATTACAACTGCCTCGTCCTTCCATTTCTTTCTCTGGAGCAGTGGTTTTTCAAACAGGGGTACACGTATTCTCGTGGGCAGGAAGAGCTTTGCTAGGGGGTTTGTGCCTCAATTTTAGTAATGATGCTGCCGCTTGAGATTTCGGTATTGGCACTCTGCCTAAGGAATGAAGATGCCGAGACCCATCAGATGTTGTGGGTACAAGCAGCAATATTTTTGCAGGTAAAGGGGTATGTGGCCAAAGAAGTTTGAAAACCACTATCCTAGGCTTTCAGTGGGAACAGCACTGCTCCGATCAATGCCTGTGTCAGGCTGTTTCATATTCTTGTCACACAGCTGTCACTAAAACATGATTTTTATCCACCTTTAAAGAATGGAAGAACTGTTACCTCTCCCCTCTCTGATCTGCAAGTCTGTGCAGTGCTTATGAAAGTAAAAGTGGAGTTGCTTATGTTTTGTTTTGAATTATTGAATCCTGTCATGCCCTTTATTCTCAATTAGCATTCAGTGTTATGCTATTTTATGTGTGGTTTCATTTCTTTTGTTTAAACTGATATTGCTTAGAACTTGTACAGGAGAGTGAAACAGCACAGAAAGATAAGTACTTGAGAGATGAGACTTAGATCTCTTTGGTCTGCCATTGACTTGCTGATACGTGACTCCGGGCAAGCTATATAAACTCTTGTGGTGCTTTATCACATTGTAAGGCTTAATTTAAAAGCATCTGGCAAAACTCCAGTGAAAGGGAGGACAAAATACTGTTGTCAACCCTACAAGGAGTTAATAAAATGCTCTTAGTGATGATTGGTGTCTTTTTATTGTAGATCACACAGACAGAAGTCCAGCAAGGACAGCAGCAGTTCAGCCAGTTCACAGATGGACAGGTACGGATCGCAGAGCACGCGGCGATTGACTGCATGTTAATTAGCCAAAGCCCCCAGAAAGTCCAGGGGCTAAGAAATCTCTCAGTCTCAGGCACTGATGGTCTAAGCCTGTGGAAAAGTCAGCTAAAGGAGACTTCCAAAGTATAATCAGGAAAAAGGATTCATAAGAAATGGAACAGAGACTTGCAGTGCATTATCACACTGCGTTGGCTCCATATTAACCGGGTGATTTGTGAAAAATATGGCAAATCAGCTGCCTAACCTTGCCCTATCTGTATCATCCCAGACTTTACTGGAAATAGGATGTGATTTTTTTTTATTCAGATAGAAAGTTTTTAAACCAATATGGACAAAACTTTGTAGCCTCTCGATATGTCATTGGAAGACATTCTGATACTGAACTGTTAGAGAGAACAATCTGTCTGTGTAAAGGGAGTTTAGGGAGAAGTTTAGTGTATTGGTTTTATACTGCATTTAAAATAGATTAAATAATTACCGCAAGTCCTTTGGACTTTGTAAGGGGTAGATTTGCCAAACTTTTGAATCCAGTTTGTTGAAGATGGGAGCAAGTGATATGAAAATTTAGCCTCATTAAATGTCAACATTTAGAAAATGGAGTTTGCTTTTTAAATGGATGTTGACCAAACTGGTAGTGAATGCATAAACAGGAGATGCAAACCAGATAGCAGAAGCCACTCAATAAATCAAACTTGGCCATAAACTGGGAAAAGATGTTGAAATGTGTTGGAGGGTTTATGTCTCTCTGTTACTCAAATGAGCTGTGACAGTAGTATTCGGTGCCAGAACAAAAGTGAGTTCTGTCTGCTTAGAGCATGTAATAGGATTTTCAGTCCAAATAACTGAGCAATAATTTACCTTGAAATATGGACTGCAAAATGAGAATGTTTTAGAAATTACCTGAGCAATCTATCCAGTACTTAAAGAGGTTCAGTTATCAGCA